ACGTAACTGTACACCTAACCCTTAACTGTACCCCACAAAATCATAATAAAAAATATTGATAAAAAACAACAACAACAACAACAAAAGTATCTGGCCTAATTTACACCAGTTACTTTGCATAAGCCCATCAATCCTTGGAGGAATCTCTTAATATGGGAGCCAGGTGAGGAATTTGGGCTCAGAGACATGACTTTTCCCAGCCCAAGGTCCCAAAGCTAGTGACTGGTAGAGCTAGGGTGTGAACCTGTGTCTGTCTGATGCTCAAGTCTACAGTCTTTGTGTCACACCACCAAGTCCCCAAACACCTCTATGTTCTGTGATGAAACAGAAACACTTGAGAGTACCTCCTCAGTGTACTTCTCAACTATTGAGCTCCACACCTTTCAAAATCTACTCCAGACTAGTCTCTCCCTCCGAGGACTGGGGATATCTGATTCTATTGGGAACAGTCCTACCCACCACCACCCTTTTAATTGAATCCTGGCTTCTTTCAGATGATACCATTCCCCTGTTTGGCTACTTCCTTCTCCCACTCCCCAATTTAATAGAGAAGAAAGGAAGAGTTGTGCTCTCTCCTTGCTCCTCAAATTATTTTTTTCACTAATGGGATCCCCTGTACAAATAACTCCTTAATGACCCTTCCAGATCCTTTTCTGTTATTTCCCTGAATAAGAGATTAACCCCCCTTCTCCCTTCTTAGCTGCCACAACCTGTTTTTCCATGGTCCCTCCCTTCCTTGTTGCACTAGAACTGATGAAACAGGATGGAAGACACAGGCTTTGAGCTTCTCTCTTGCCTTCCCATTCCACACGGATGTCTAGACTATCAGAAGTATCTGTTGCTATCCTAACAGGGAATTAGATGAGCAATACAATAAGAAACATGGACAAAGCAATGAAACATTAAAAGATGCCCAATAAGTTATCTCTTAACCCTAGTGGAATAAAAGTCTGCTTTAGTCACCTTAATGAGCTTGTTAAAAATACAGATTTCTCACCAGGCACTGTGGCTCACACCTATAATCCTAGCACTTTGGGATGCGGATGTGAGAGAACTGCCTGAGCCCAGGAGTTTGAGACCAGCCTTGGCAAATTGACCAGACCTTGTCTCTACAATAAATAAAAAATATTAGCCAGGCATGGTGGCACGTGGCTGAAGTTCCAAATACTTGGAAGGTTGAGGCAGAAGGATCACCTGAGCCCAGCAGGTTGAGGCTGTGGTGGCAGTGAGCATGCCACTTTACTCCAGCCTGGGTGATAGAGTGAGACACCGACTTAAAAAAAAAATTGCACACACATACACACATACACACACAGAGAGAGAGAGAGAGAGAGAGAGAGAGAGAGAGAGAGATTTTTCCGGGTCTCCCAGAAATTGGTCTTCGGTTGGTCTAATACAAATCAAGAAAATTTGTATTTTCAACAAGTTCCCTGTTCTAATGTAGGCATCAACTTGGAGTGGACTATTGAGGGTTCTCAACACTGAGAAATACAGTACAGTACTCAAGGATAGGTCTTCTTAGATATGGGCTTTAAAGGTCAGATAGACTTCAACTTGAATCCTAGGATGTATGCATTAGCTCTGTGACTTTGGATGAGTTTCCAGAGTTTCTGAGCCCAGTCTCTCATCTGTGAACTGGGGTTTCTTTATTTCACTACAAGTTTCAATCACTTCAGAGGTTAGAAAGGCAATCTGTGTGGAAAACATCCAGCCTCACCAGGGAGAGGAGGGAAAAGCAAGACTTTGGCCCTGGAGAATCTGGCTTCAATAGAGGCATTCAAAACTCAGGTTGTTGAGGTAAAATGAAGATTTACAAATGAAATGCCCAATATATGATAGACAGTCAATAGAAAGTGGCTCTCATTGCTATAATAAATTGTTTATTTTGCCCAAGAGCCCATACAAGGAGACAAAAGTATATACTTGAAGACTAAACCACCAAAGTTATATTAATCTTCATCTCTAAGGAAAAACCAGGGCATATTCTTTAAGATGTCCCTTTTGTGACAGAAATGATGCCCAACACCTCACCCTCCTCCAGTAACCTGCACCTCTCCGCCTCTGTAGCCAGCATCATCTGTGTGCATCACTATAGAAATGGTGCCCCTGAGGATCCCTGCCTCCACTTGTCTATAACTGGTTACCATTCCTTGCCATCTCTTCCCCATCCCTACAGAACTCCATTTAACCACGGTCACTCACTCCTTTTACTTTTTTTTTTTTTTTAGGTTAGAAAATATAGTTTACTTAGAAAGTAGATTACAGAGAGAGAGAGAGAGAGAGAGAGAGAGAGAGAGAGAAGATTCACCTCTCCAAGGTAAGGGAGGAGGCCAAGGCTTAGGGAAACATGGCCCGGCCATAGCTCAAAGAGCCACATAGCCAGACCAGAGTTTAACAAAAGCAAATAGTCTCAGTCCTTTTACTTTTTCAGAAACTACCAGTTCCCCCTGTCTTGACTGGTCAGTCATTTCAGTGATATCCTCAGGAGCTTCCTAGACTCTCATGCCCCCTTGATCTCTTGTCAGCTTTAGGAAACTACCAGCAGATACTTCTGGGAACCAGTCAGGCAACTGACCTTAAATAACCTTTCTCTCAATAGAGCTTTCCTTGGTTGATCTATCAAACATGCAGCCCCTCCTCTACAGCGCGGGTTAAATATTCCTCACTTCTCAGGTCTTTGCTTTCCCATAAACTTTCAGCTGATGATACCATCTTTGTTGAGGAATCAGCCCTGAACACGAGTCAAGAAACCTAGGCTTAGTCCAGGGCCCAACACTCACAGGCCGTTTGTAACTATGGGAAAGTCTCTTTAGGCCTCATTTTCCTCAGCTGAGGGGGCATGGGGTTGAGGCAGGATAGATCAGAGACTCCCAGTGTGGCCTCTTGCCCACTGTAAGGTGTGCCTGAGGCTCTCTGGGAAGGAAGCCCAGTAACCACCCTATGGTTAACCAATACTAAGTGAATTATCAAGGGTTACTAAAATGTGGTGTCATTTTCCTCCTCTCTAATCCTTTTTGTTTTAAATGTGAAGTGTGACATTTTATTTTTAGAGCTCTTCGGGTCTGGGTTCTTGTCTCATGCCCAGGAGGAAAGAGGGACGCAGATGGCCAGAAAGTTGAGAAAGTAGGATTTATTGAAAGGACAGAAAAGCTCCCAGAGCAGCTGGGGACATGAAGGGGTTGCCTCTAATTCTCTTTTAACTCTCACTGGAACATGGGAGCAGGCTGGGGGAGGTGGGCTGCAGTCAAAGAATGGTTCATGAATCACTGACATCTTTCTCAAAGTTTTCTTCTGGATCTAGAATTTTGACTTGCTGAAATCAAGTAAGGTAGATGTGAGCTCCCTCAGCTTCCTCCCTTATATATTAATCATCCTCATATTTTAATGACTTCCGCTGTCTTCAGAGGCCAGGCTGCCTCCCTTTTCCTTCCCTTCCCTTTCTAAGGACAGTTCTTTCACCTTAGGCTGAGACCACTCCCACCGGCTTCATCACTCATAAGTGATCACCTCACTTCTTAATGCTTCACTTTGCTCACTTGCTATTGTCCTTCGTTCTTTGCCCATAAATATGCTTAGGGTTATCTTATTCTTCAAAAACCAACAATTGGAAACCTCTCAGGACAGTCTGTCCTAGTGACTCACTTTGAAAGTGACCTCATCTGCTCAAGTTCAGAGATCTTTAGTTGTGGCCTACATTTCTTTACTTTAAACCAGTTCTTTTTTTTTTTTTTTTTGAGTCAAAGTCTTACTCTGTTGCCCAGGCTGGAGTGCAGTGGCATGCTCACGGCCACTGAAGCCTCCACCTACTGGACTCAGGCAATCCTTCTGCCTCAGCCTTCTAAGTAGCTGGAACTATAGGCGTACACTATCACACCCAGCTTTTTTTTTTTTTTTTTTTTTTGATTTATTGTAGAGATGAGGTTTTACCAAGTTTCCCAGGCTGATTTTGAACTTCTGAACTCAGGCAATCCTCTCGCCTTGGCCTCCCAAGGTGCTGGGATTACAGGCTTGAACCACTGCACTCATCCTTAAACCAGTTCTTTTAAAAGAACCAAACCACTTAGGGGAAGAATCTGTTAATTGGCTTACCAACAAGGGATGTGTTTAATACATGTGCTTGCTTTGTTCCCATCTGACCTGTTTTTTAGTGTCCCATGGACCAGTGGATTCTAAGAAGGCATCTTATCTTCTCCCACATATTATAATACTTCTTCATAGCCTTTCCCCCTGAGGTCCCATGGCCCATCCTCTGCTATTTTAGCCCTCTTTAAGGAGTTAATGGTGTCTTAGCCAATCCCACAGGGATCTACCTACAGAGGTTGTGGCTGTTCCTGATGTGGGTGTTGCAGACAAAGTCAGATGAATATGGATTCAACACTGCACCACTATGCCGCTTACTATCTGTGGGACTTCTCTGACCTTCAGTCTCTTCTCTGTTAAGCAGGGATGGTATCTGCCTTCTAGGGTTGTTGTGAGGATTCAATGAGGAAATATATGCAAAGGGCCTACACACAGTAGACATTCAATAAAAGTTAGTTCTCTTTTCCTGTAAGAGAGCAGCCTCGGAGCAAGGCCTGAAACCAGACTCAGACCATTGACCTTCTTAACATTGTAGATTAGGTTTTGTTTCTATCTTAATGCGTAATTCCTTATTTTCCCTTTTATTTTTTATTTTTATTTTTGAGTGGTTATCTCACTTTGCCATCTAGGCTGGAGTGTAGTGGCATGATCATGGTTCCCTACACCCTTGACCTCCTGGGTTTAAGCAATCCTTCCGCCTCAGTCTCCTGGATACCTAAGACTACAGGTACATTCCACCATGCCCAGCTAATTTTTTGACTTTTTGTAAAGACAAGGTCTCAGTATGTTGCCCAGGCTGCTGTCAAACTCCTAGGTTCAAGCAATCTTCCCACCTTGGCCTTCTAAAGTGCTGGGATTATAGGTATGAGCCGCCACGCCTGGCTATTTTTCCTTTCAAAAATTTCATTTCAAATGAACAAAAAGAAGAGTGGCTATTTCTGAGTACTCTTTACATTTTTCTGAATTTCTCACATTTTCTACAATGTAGTACTTTACTCATACATCAGGAGAAGGAAATGTTATTTAAAACAAAAATTTTTAAAAACTTCCATTTAAAGCAGTTGACGCTACTCCATCTATTATCTAGGAAAACATCTTTATAGAATAATTTTTAAATTCTGCAGCCAATAATTTTAGGGTATAATTTTGTTACAGTACTGTTTTTAGAATTAACTTTTAGTTCAAAGAAAGAGCATAGTAGGCCAGGCTTGGGGGCTCAGCCTGTAATCCCAGCACTTTGGGAGGCCGAGACAAGAGGATTGCCTGAGTCCATGGGTTCGAGACCCACCTGGGCAACTTGGCGAGACCTCATCTCTATAATAAATCAAAAATTAGCCGGGCATGGTAGCATGCTCCTGTAGTTCTGGCTACTTGGAAGGTTGAGGCGGAAGGATCACCAGAGCCCAGCGGGTCGAGGCTGCCATGGCCGGGAACGTGCCACTGCACTCCAGTCTGGGTGACAGAGTGAGACTCCAACTCAAAAAAAAAAAAAGAAAGAAAGATCATAGTAAAAGCAAGACACTCTATTCCCTCTTTAATCCCCTAACTCAAAGGTTCTCAAAATGTGGCCCCAGACCTGCAGCATCGCATAACTTGGGAACTTTTGAGAAATACACATTCTTAAGCCCCATCCCAGACCAACAAAGTCAGAAACCTTGGAGGTGGGTGTCAGCAATGAAGTATGAACAAGCCTTTCACGTAGTTCTAATGTGACCTTCAGTTTGATAACCACTGCTCACACTTTTCTCTGTTTTTTTCCCAAAACATCTTTAAGGTGGGACATGACATTGCAATAGAATAAGATACATATTTGGTCTCTGTCCCTGGTTCCTTACACATAGCTTCTAAAATTCTTTGAATCTCTGGAGTGATAAGACTATCTTTTTTTTTTTTTTTTTCTCACTCTGTCATTCAGGCTGGAGAGCAGTGGCAAGATCACAGCTCACCCCAGCCTCAACCTCCTGGGCTCAGGCAATCCTTCTGCCTCAGCCTCTTGAGTAACTGGTACTATAGGCGCGTGCTACCATGCCTGGCTAATGCTTTGATTTTTGATTTTCTGTAGAGATGAGCTCTCACTATGTTGCCTAGGCTGGTCTTAAACTCCTGGGCTTAAGTGATCTTACAGCTTTAGCTCACACCTCCAGGGATTACAGGCATGAGCCACTGTGCCTGACCAAGAGTGTCTTTTGTATGCCAAAAAGATGACTGGTTTCCGGGGGCCCCTGATAGCTTCAGGCTGGGACTAGTCACAAGAAAAACCAAGGAATAATGAGAGGGTTAGGTCTTTTATCCCCACCCCCAGGGAAGGGAGAGAAGGTAAAGGCTGAGTTGATCACCAATGGTCAATGATTTAATTAACTATGCCTATATAATAAGTCTCCATAAAACCCAAAAGGGCAGGGTTCAAGGAGCTTCATGGTTGTTGAATACTTGGAGGTGAGTGGGTGGCTCACTGGAGAGGGCATGGAAGCTTCTCACCACTTTGCACTGACCTTACCCCATATATCTTGTCATCTGGCTGTTCATTTGTATCCTTTACAATATCCTTTGTAATGAATGGATAAACATAAGTAAAGTGTTTTTCTGAATTCTGTATGCTGCTCCAGCAAAGTAACTGAACCTAAGGAGAGGGTTGAGGAGGACCCCCATTTTATAGCCAGTTGGGGAGAAGTATAGGTGACAATCTACTACTTGAGATGGCGCTTGGCATTCTGAAATGAGGGGCTTCAGTCTTGTGGGACTGAGACTTCAACCTGTGGGATCTGACGCTATCTGATGCAGGTAGACAGCATCAGAACTGAGTTAAATTATAGGACACCCAGTTGGCCTCTGCTGAAGAACTGCTTGGGGTGTTGGGGAAACCCCTCACACATCTGGTGTCAGAAGCATTGAGTGGAGGGTGCGAGTAGAAAAACACAAGTGGCCTTATCTCTCATGGCTTCATTTAAACCACTCCCTCCAGTCACCTTAGGTCCAGATGAGGTCAGTGCAAGGAGTGAGGACTAAAGCACAGGCCTACGAGAAATGCTACCCATGGGCAGAGCTGTCTGAAAGAGTCTGTAGGCAGTCAAGGAAGTGGACAGGCAGAAGTCCTCACTTCAGCCACCTTCTATCTTGCTCTACAGCTTCCCAAGCATTATTCTCAGGGCGGAGGATGATGTTCATTGAGCCTGTGATGGGAGAAGGGCCTGGAGGAGAACCTGAACATGTGAAGCTGATCTATTGGGGTACTGTGCCCTAGTCTGTCTCATCCCACTGCTTGACTATCCCCTCTCACCTTCCTCGGGGCAGCAGCAGCGGGTGGGACAGCAGGGGCAGCGGACATAGCAGCAGCAGTACTGAGGACAGCACTGGCACCAGCACACGCCAATCAGCAGCAGGAGAAGGAGGGCACCCAGAATGATGAAGATCACCGTCAGCCAGTCTGCAGAGAAGAAGCCAAGCAGGGGGTGAATGAAACATCCAGGGGAAATGCTTCCAGTTCCAATATTCTACAGGGCACATAGATACAGCTCTTGACCTACAAGTTAAGACTGAGCAACACACTGGCAAAAAAAAAAAAAAAAGTTTAGCTCTGCTAAGGGAATTTCAGAAGTTGACAATCCAATGACAATAATCTAGGCTTGTTTATTTCCGTGTCTGTGGTTTTTTTTTCCTATAAGTAGAAGGGTTATGGTGGTGAGATGACTGAATAAAAAGCTCCAGTAGCACTTACGCAGGACGATGAGTTTCACCTCCTTATCTGGGTCTCCTGAGGTGTCCCCTGGAGCCTCAATAGTGCAGTAATATACTCCATGGTCCCACCACATCACTTCATTAATCACAAGATCTGCTCCTATATAGGAAGGAAGGAGAAAGTGCCAGTCAGAGGAGAGGGTACTGATTTATAACCCATGTCAGCTTCAAGACCCTAGCATTACCTTTCCACGGTCCTTTCCCTTCCTAAGAGGGTCCCTGATAGTTCAGAGAGAGGTCCCAATTTCTTCCTCTGAGATCTTCTTTCTTCAAACAGTATAATGATGATAAAACTGACTAATCATTGAGTCCTGCCAGGTACTTTGTAGAGATTTTGGATACATTGCCTCATTTAATTCCCACCATAACCCTATAAGGTAGAGATGACCAGTAGTCTCCCAGTGTATAGTCTCCCCTTCTCTCACGGTCATAGAAGTTTTGGCCATGTATGTGGTTACTATGGTTTGAATGTCTGTCCCCTCTAAAACTCAGGCTGAAATTAAATTGCCATCATAACAATATTAAGAGATGGGTCCTTTAAAAGGTGACTGGACCATAAGGGCTCCTCCTTGATGGGTACAATTGATGCTGTAATAAAAGGGCAAGTTTGGCCTCCCCTTACCCTCTTGCCTTCAGCTCTGTGATGATACAGCAAGAAGACCCTCACCAGATGCCAGCATCCTGATACTGGACTTTTCATCCTCCAGAACTGTGAGCCAATACATTTTTGTTAATTATAAATTACCTAGTCTCAGGTTTTTTTGCTTTTTTTTTTTTTTTTGAGTCAGGGTCTCATTCTGTTACCCAGACTGGAGTACAGTGGCACGATCACAGTTCACTGCAGCCTCTACTTCTTGGGTTCAGACGATCCTTCTGCCTCAGCCTCCCAAGGATCTGAGACTACAGGTTTACCACCATGCCTGGCTAATTAAAAAAAAAAATTTTTTTTTGTAGAGATGAGGTCTCATTATGTTGCCTAGGCTGGTCTCAAACTCCTGGGCTCAAGAAATTCTCCCACCTCTCAAAGTGCTGGGACTACAGGCATGAGCCACTGTGCTTGGCCCTAGTCTCAGGTGTTTTCTTAAAGCAACACAAAATGGACTAAGACATGAACCATTAGATGGACATGGATAAGTAACTCAGTTCTGGCCAACAGAATGTAAGCAGAAGTGTCACAAAATGGTTCTTAGGAACTATCTTAAAAACAGCTTGTGAATGCCTTTGCTCTTTTTTGTGTATCTCTTTTTCTACTCTGTTACCTGGAAAGCAAATGTAATACCTGTCATTTTGAACCATGAAGAGGAAGATGACCTTCTTGGTGAGGACTTAATGGAACAGAGTTACCACACTGGGTGTGAATTGTATACTTCTGATTTTAAACACAAGAGAGAAATAAATTTCTGTATTGTTTAAGTCACTAGTGTTTTGGGCTTTTGCTTACTCACTATCAAACCTACTCCTAACTGATACAGTGGGCATGACTATTCAGCTGCATTTCACATGAGGAAAATCAAGACCCAAAGAGACTTAGAAAGTGTCCTAAGAACATAACTCAACAGAGGTATATTCAAATCCATGTCTCTTTGCCTCAAAACTGGTGTTCTTAATCACCAAACTCTACTGTCTTCTCCAACTGGGTAGAAAACTCCACAGCCTTGGTCCTTTACCAGACTAAAATGAGCAGATAATGGATCTTGAAGGGACAGGTATGAGATAAACTTGAATAAATAGGGATGAAAGGCCAACATTTAAAGAATAAATATAACTGAAGAAAATATTCAGTTCTTGCCGGGTGCAGTGGCTCACGCCTGTAATTCCAGCAGTTTGGGAAGCAGAGGCAAGAGGATTACCTGAGCCCATGGGCTGGAGACCAGCCTGGGCAACATGGTAAGACCTCATTTCTAAAATAAATAAATACAAAAATTAGCTGGGTGTGGTGGCACATGTCTGTCATTCCAGCTACTTGGAAGCCTGAGGTGGAAGGATCACCTGGCCCAGCAGGTTGAGGCTGCGGTGGCCATGAGTGTACCACTGCACTCCAGCCTGGGCAACAGGGTGGGACTCTGACTCAAAAAAAGAGAAAAGATTTAGTTATTGTGAGCACTGAGTGCTACGTTACCCTATTATGATAGATAAATGGTTAATATAGATGTTCAAGTTTAGAAAAGTCAACAAATATTCACTAAAGACCTTTTATGGGTTCAGTACCATGTCAAGCACCGCAGAAGATCTGAATAGGGACAAGATCCTTCTCTGTCCCCAGAGGGCTTAAAACACAGTCAAAGGCATCAGGTAGCCTCTGTGTCTCAGTGCAATGGCAGTTCTTGCTCTCACCACAGTAAGAGCCAGGGGACCTTAGCATTATAGACTTGCTCCTGCTCACTTTGTGGTCATATTTGCAATTCTGTATTATCTGCTTGTCAAAAAATATTTATTGAGGAAATGAAACAAAAATGCAAGGTCATGCAACACTGGACCGAACTTTGACTTCTGTTTCCTTCTCTTTCTACGTCAGGCCCTACAATTTTTTCCTACCCAGTATTTTCCAAACCCACTACCTTTCCCAGAAGCAAGCTTACCACAGACTTGGAAGAATGGTGAAAGTGCTTTGAAGAAAACTCCCTCTCAAAGACTTATGTGTATTGTAAATCTGTCCAAACTTGTATTGGAGACATAAAGAGTATTTTAGGGATGTCAGAGTAATGAGAATATTCAGATATCCTAATGAATTAAAGGATCTAGGAACTAGTTTAACAGGGTCATCTCAAATGATGCAAACATAGGCACAAATTTGTCAGAAAAATTTGTCAGACAAATTTGTCAAAAAAAATTTGTCAGACTTCCAGGAAGTCATAACAGGTCTACAGGCAGATATAAAAACCGAGGGGAACTACTACTACTTTCCTGTGGGAATAAGGAAGAAGCAGGGTTTGTTCCAAAGGTTGTTGGGAATAGAGGTTGTGAAAGTTTGTACACGCCTTCATGGTTTTTTTGTGTGTGTGTTTTGTTTGTTTGTTTCTTGGTTTGGGGGTTTTTTTTTGTTTTGTTTTGAGTCAGGGTCTCACTCTGTCACCCAGGCTCGAGTGCAATGGCACCATCATGGCTCACCACAGCCTTGACTTCCAGGGCAAGTCTTCCACCTCAGCCTCCCAAGTAGCTGGGACTACAGACATGCACCACCATGCCCAGCTAACTTCTTGATTCTTTTGTAAAGACAAGGTCTGGCCATGTTGCCCAGGCTGGTCTCAAACTCCTGGATTCAAACAATCCTCTCACCTCGGCCTCCCAAAGAGCAGTGATTGCAGGTGTGAACCACTGTGCCCAGCCCCTTCATGTTTTTAGAACAGAAGAGCCAGGACTAGCACCCTATAGAGAACTTCAAGTTTCAGAAACAGTAAAGGCAACTCACTAATGAGAGAGGGTTAACTTTTGGGTAAGGCCAGAACTACTTCTGCTGGCCTTAGAAAAAAACAGAACCAACTTGCATCTTTGAAGATGTCCCTGGAGGCTAGAAAATAAGGACAGATGTTCCTCGATCAGAGGTTGAATGTGAAAGGATCAGACTATTATAGACAAAACTGAAAGCAGTTGCTAAACTGGCTCTCTCTAAGAGATCTGTCTTTAAGCAGTCATAGAATAGTCACCAGTTTTCTCACATTGTAGGTATGGGCCCCAAGAGTAGCCTACTGGGTGTATTCTCCCCTTTTACTCCTTTTAACTAGCAAATATTTATTTAACCTAGAAAATAAGGCCCATTGAAATAGGCTCTGAATTCCATGCTAATAACCTATCACAGCAACCCTGAATTACAAGACAGAAATGTGGGAAGTGAACCCATGATACACAAAGGTACTGAGTGACTAACACTCACTGCACACTTCCTGTTTGCTAAGTGCTTCATATACATCATCTCAGTCCTCACAAATCTCCATGAGATACATACTGTGGCAAGTCCCATTTTATATAAATTGGGGCTGAAAAACTTGAAGGATTTTGCTCAATTTCACACACCTTGTCCATGCAAAATAAGGGCACTCCCCTGAGTCTGACTCCAGAGTCAGGGTTCTCACCACTACTCCTTGCTCCAGGCACAAAGAATAGGTGGGCTTTAGACACAGCTCTCAGATGCTGCATTTGACATTCACTTCAGTGGAGGGAGAAGATGCCATTATGTCCATCTTTCAGATGAGGAAATGAAAGCCAGAGAAAATAACTGATCTGCCATTGGTCACCGAGCTAGTGACAGGAAGCACTGGGATTCTCACCTGGGACTTTTTAGTTCAAGCCTTCTGTTTTTCCCTTTATCAGTGGTGATGGTGGTCTCATGGTGGTCATCTACTTGGAAGTCCCTCTTTCCTTCCATATGGGCCACAGGAATGGTCAGAGGGGAACTCATGGACCTGGGGTTTGAGTAGGCCCTGAGAGCTCTATGTGGAAGGGATCAAAGGAAACTTACTCTGAATCCACATCTTACCCCGAATCTCAGGAAAGCAAAGGAAACCACCCACCCCTAGACCTTTAGCCGATGCTGTAGGACAACAGATTGGTCTACAGACCAACTTCCAGGGAAGTAACTTCTGCTAGTGCAGCAAATTCTACAAGTCTGCACTTTCCTCAATGTCAGTGACCAAGTGGGCAGCAAAAATGGGAAATCCCATGTTGACTCAGCCTGTCAGGCCTGGTGTCTACCATCTCCCTCTGCTCCTAGTTGCCCAGCCGCCTCCCCCACACTCACGGTTCTGGATGGTGATCTTGCGCTGCCGGTAATCCACCCCCAGCACTGGCTCGTTCTGCCCCCGTCGCTGAGCCACGATGCGAACTTCCCGCTGGTTGTCATTGCAGTCATTGGATGGGTCCTGGCCCAGGGATAAGGCTGCCTGGTACGCTGAGGAGGACACACCAGAGTCACACAGCAATAGGGGATTCCCACAAAAAACGGTGCCCTTCCTGCTGGCTGTGTGAGACACAGTGAGGTGTTTCCATTTCCCCCACGAGCCTATCATCCACTGGAAATCTTGTCAAACATGAAGACTCTGATTCTGCAGGTCTGGAATGCGCTCTGAGAGTCTGATAAATAAGCTCCCAGGAGATGTCAACGAACCACAGTTACAGCCAGTAACCACACTCTAGGCAGCAAGACTCCAGACCCCTAGTAGTCCATCCTTTCCAAGCCCTGGCTGTAGTCCCCCTATTTCCTATCCCAATTTCCCTTGTCTCATTTTCAGAGACAACCCAGCCTCTGCTCCTACAGTTTCACCCAACTACCTTTAAAACATAGGGTGTGAGGGCTGTTAAACCTGCCCTTGGTAAATGCCTACTACCCTAGTCTTTCCTCCCTTCCCACTTAACACAATCATTTTAAGAGTAACCCCCATAAAACAATGCCTCAATTTAGAACAGCTCAGTGGGTGGCTAAGACAGTCAGCTTTTATGGTTCTCAAATCTTACTGTGAGACGTTAGCCCCAGGACTAAAAGGAAAAAAAGGCAAAGCTGATGCCTCCCTCTCCCTTTGCCTCATCTCAGGACACTCACTTCCTTCCTATGAACAGGGTGTCTACTTCTGTCCTCAGAATTTATAAAGCTAATTGTCTGGGGCCGACCTTGAGGCGGTTCTGAGTTCCTTTGTTCCTTAGGAGAGAGCAGACGTGGTCAGCTAAGGGAAGAGCTCTGACTCAGACTGTAGAACCGACATGAATGGGCAGTTGTTACTGAGAGGCGGGACTAGCTCACCCTACAAGGGAGTTGAGCAGCACTGAGAAGTCCCGAATGGGCTGCCTGGGGGACACTGAAAGTGCTTAGTCAGCAGAGGAATGACCATCCTCCAGGAAGGCTGTCTGCAGAAGGAATGAGGCAGTGGGCAGGAAGCTTCACAAATGACCACTGGGGTCCCTTGCATCTCTAGCATGAGAGTCTCCTTGCCTGCATTCTTAGGTGGAGGTGTGAGGGGAGGCAGGTCTGCATCAAAGCTCAGTGCACTGGCAAGGAACCAGGAATGGATGAGGAGGCAGGACTTTTATCTAGTGTCTGTCTTTTATTTAATGTCTGAGCTACCTTAAATCTTTTTAGGACAAGGTGAAGCACAACTTTTATATTCTATAACTTTTATTTTATACTTTTTATTTTTCGTAGAAATGGGATCTCACTACGTTGCTCAGGCTAGTCTTGAACTCGTGGCCTCAAGCAACCCTAACTTGGCCTCCCAAAGTGCTGAGAGTACAGGCGTGAGCCGCCACACCTGGCCAAAAATTTTAAAAATAGACTAGTATGTGAACTCGGACACATTACTTCATCTGCCTCAGTTTGTTTATCTATAAAATGAGGGAATTGCGTTAGGTGATCTTTGTCACTTCTCCTCACTGTAAGGATTTGTGATCCTAAATAATGCCTAACCCCTAACAGCAATACATCACAGAGGTGCCTGGGACCCGGAGGATGCAAGGTGAGGGAGAGTACTCACAGGCAGAGTAGTAGTCAAAGATGGGGTCCTTGCAGAAGGACTTGAAGCGCCACGTCACTACCACATCCTGGAGCTGGGCAGAGGTGGTATAGTCACATTTGAGGACAGTGGAAGCAAACAGGGTGACATAGCGCTCTGTGTGCTGGACTGTCACCAGCAAGGACAGGCACCCTAAAGCCAAGAGCAGGAGACAATGCTGAAGGTGACCCACTTCTGTTCATGGGGTAATAAAAGCTATGCAAATGAGCAAAACACACTGCCTGCCCTTCCACCTGACTGACTGAGAGCTCATAGGCAGAGCCTGAGTTCTTCCTTGGCCTGGGCAGGGTGTGGAATTGGGTGGAGAAAGCATTCAGCAACCTAGGGGAGGCACAGGAAAAATGGAGTAAGGATAACTCCCAGTAACTTACAGTCCACTGACAGTGATAACACACTCAACAGCAATAAAAGAATTGTGTCACATTAAGGCCAAATTTGTAGTAGAGTGACATTGCTAATACATTTTTTTCCCAAGTCACTTCTCTTAAAATTGTTTCCAGCTGGGCATGGTGGCTGACACCTATAATCCTAGTACTTTGGGAGGCAGAGGCGAAAGGATTGCCTGAGCCCAGGGGTTTGAAACCAGCCTGGGCAACTGGTCGAGACCTTATTTCTACAATAAATCAAAAAAGTAGCCAGGTAGGGTGGTGCACACCTATCGTTCTAGCTACTTGGAAGACTGAGGTGGAAGAATCGCCTGAGCCCAGCAGGTCAAGGTTGTGGTGGCTGTGAGCGTACCTCTGCGCTCCAGCCTGGGCGACGGAGTGAGACTCTGGCTAAAAAAAAAAAAAAAAAAAAATGTCCTATTTCCCTAAGGATGAAGTTTAAACTCCATAACCAGGCCTAGAAGTCCCGTTAGATCTGTCTACCTGTCTAGTCTACCTGTCCATCTGTCTCTGCTGCCTCATCCCCTCCTCACACTCAAGGCTTTGGCCCTTCTGAATTCACTGCAGTTCCTCCTGGACTAGAATCATTCTCTTCTCCAGCTCTTCCCATGGGTGGAGCCCTCTCAGCCTGGACCACTCTTCCATATCACCCACTACTGCTCCACTCTCTCCTCTGGGCTAATTACTATCATTCCTTAGGTCTTCAGCTGAACTCACCTCCTCAAGCAGACTTCCTAGCTGCAAGTCCAGGAGAGGGGCTTCCGTCTGTTTTTGCCAAGTGCTGTGTTCCTAACCCCTAAGCAGCGCTTTTCACACTTCTTGGCGATGGCCTGCTTACCATGGCTCTGAGAAGGTCAAGTGGGACTGCTCAAACACAACTGTATGCCTGTCACCTACTTGGTACCCAATAAATGTTTGTTGAACAAATGGTAGAATGAATAACCAAGAATATATCAACCAGTGAAAATTTGACTATACAGGAAGTTAGCATAAGCTGGAGCAAATAAAACAAAAATGATCAGACTGTGACAAACTCTATCAAGAAAGACTTGAAGGAATTCATAGTTTAGGTTTTTTTGTTTCTTTTTAAAATTTCCTCTCACTACCCTCCAAAACTACAAACACATTTCAAGCTCCAGGTGCTTCTTGATGAGGAACCTGGTGGCACAGAGATACCTGGTGGGACTTTGACATGGTCAGGAGTCCATACACAACCAGCATCTTGGAATGTTGCTATGTTAGTATGGTTCTTGGATCCTGTGGTTGATCTTCTGATCACAGCCCTCACAAGACAGTCCCCCTGGAGCGTATGATGGGCACCTGCACTTGTTCTCCTCACATCCATGGAGAGAAAGCAGGATGTACTCAGGACAGGGTGTGGCCCCAGAAATGACCTGACCCATCTCTAGGACCAGGCTGTGATGAAGATACCCCCACCATAGACATGCTGAAGAGAGACTCTACTGCCTGTAGGAAAGAGCTGTGGGCATGGGGACTTCACGCAAAGAAGAGATTTAAGCTAAACCCCAAGGCACAGGTAGGACTAAGGGTATATATGAGAAATAGGGAGACAGAGAGAAACTCATCATTTCAGTAAGCAAGAAAGGAGGAAGCAACAAGCCTTATCAGGAAGGAGCAGTTACTTGGGCAACCTGGAGGAAACAAATCTCTGGCTTTAAGGAAGACAGAGAGAATAAATAAGGCATGGCTGGTGGTGTGAGTAGGAGGTGGGGAGGTGGGGTGGAGTCTAAATCCCAATCCAGTGTCGATTTCTAGTTCGTGAATAATCACTGAAGGTTTTTCTGAAGATTAATAGGCTGAGAGTGGTGTTTTTTAGGAAGATGGATGACTTCTCTGCTAGGCTGTAAATAGAAAAGGGACATCGTTTTGAGAATCAACCTGGAGTAGACTGGGGAAAATAGTTGTTGTGTCTACCACAGTAAAATTCCCAGAAATCAGGCCAATCAGAATGAAAGTGCCAGTGACGAGCATCTCAAGTCTAACATGAATTGTTTCTCAATCTGATTTTTATTCTTGTTCTTCCTCTCTGATGACTGCCTACCATTCCCCCCCCCAGAACTGACCTGAAATAGACCTTGAAACTTTTTCCCATCACAGTTTTAAATGAACAGCAGAAGTAGCTCCAGATATTCTCCCAGTGGATGGAGTGCCAACTGTCAACACTGGCGTATTTTGCTCAGCAACACATACTGACTTAAACTAGACCCTAAGACACAGGTAGGATTAAGATTACACACGTTAATCCTCACAAAACCTCCTAGAGTGGGTAATAGCCCTACTCACACATGTGGGCAAAACTTCAGAGACAGAAAAAAAAACACATTGGTTTAAACAGAATCATAGGTTAACAGCACCTTTAAACATACTCTTTTTTTTTTTTTTTGAGTCGGAGTCTCATTCTGTCACCAAGGCTGGAGTGCAATGGCACGCTCACAGTCACTGCAGCCTTGACCTGCTGGGCTCAGGTGATCCTTCCATCTCAGCCTTCCAAGTAACTGGAACTAGGGGTGTGCGCCACCATGTCCAGCTAATTTTTTGATTTATCGTAGAGACGAGGTCTTACCAATTGCCCAGGCTGGTCTCAAACCCCTGGACTCAGGCAATCCTCTTGCCTCCACCTCCCAAAGTGCTGGGATTACAGGCATGAGCCATGGTGCCTGACCTATTCTTCTTTTTTTGAGTCAGAATCTCACTATGTCACCCAGGCTAGACTACAGTGGCACACTCATGACTACTGCAGTCTCAGCCTTCTGGGCTCAGGCAATCCTTCTGCCTCAGCATTCCAAGTAGCTGGAACCACAAGCGTGTGCCAGCACACCTGGCTAATTTTTTTATTTATTGTAGAGACAAGGTTTTACCAAGTTGCCCAGGTTGGTCTGGAAGCCCTGGGCTCAGGCAATCCTCTCACCTCTGCCTTCCAAAATGTTGGGATCACAGGTGTAAGCCACTGCACCCAGCTAAATATATACTTTTACACAGTAAATGTGGTCTCTGGGAGGAGATAAGTTGTGCCCACTTCACATACAACAAATCTGAGGCTGGAAAAATGTGACTTGTCTGCAGCCATTCATTTTCTAACGGGGTCAGTCCGAGTGAAGTGCTGCCCCTAAGCAGCACTTTTGTCACTTGGCCTGGCTTTTCTTTAAATAAAGGAAGGTTATTGTTATTCACAACTTTGCAAACCATTGGCGCTTGGGACCAGGCTATGTGAGCAATAATTAAAACACAACTGGCAGTAGTCGTTTTAATTTATTAGCAACAATGAATAACCTGCATGTTGTTTGACTTAATGGTAATTGGACATAAATAGTAGCTTATTCAACACTCCAGCTAACATTACTTGTTGAGGGTGGGTTTGCTGGTGGTGAGAAAAGGGAATTTGGTTGGAGCCAGAAATTGCTTTGGGGTAGCTTTGAAGACTGCAGAATCTGACACCCTTGAGGGACGGGAATGGGGACAAGGATGCTCACTCAGCTCCCCTTACATCAATGCCCTTATTATGGGCAAACCACAGTGGGGGTGGCATGACTCACCTTTACCAACGTCAGCCCTGGCTTTGTTGCTTGGGTACTCTTTTCTCTTTCATCCCTTACATGATTTCAAGCCTTGAAATATGCCAGGTTCCCATGTGTTCTGACCAGATTGAGTTCACTCACACTCCCTCGAGGGGTCTGCCAACCCTACAGCATCCTGCACAGATTTCACCCCGCCACCACCCCACCACCATCCCTCCATACCCCACACAGGGGGAGTGAAGAAGAATGCTAGGAGAAGAGACACCGGACAACCCAGCAAACTCATCTTCCTTCTTATCAGTTGCTGCTGCCGGCCTGCAGCATCGACTATGCACCAGGTGATGTTCATTGTTTGTCTCTAATCCTCACAAAACCCCATGGAGTGGGTAAAAGCCCTGCTCACATGTGGGCAAAAGTACAGAAAATATAAGCCAAGACCTCATGTGTCCAGCATCACATACCTAAAGAGTATCAGAGCGTCAGGATTTGAACTTGGGCCGTGCTGACACCAAAACCCAGTTTCTCCCAAGCAGGCAAGCTTGATATTATAAAGTGGAAGTCAGATGCCAGACTCTCAAAAAGCAGTAGGATTTTCCAGAATGGGAGGGAAAGAAAAGAAATAGAAAGATAGCCCACCTCAAAGGCAAGAATCTCCCACTTTCTTTTCCTACAGCCTCTAACTTCTCTGTAAAACTAACCACACTAGACACGCATAGCACCAAAAGCACCAGAATCTAGGCTGAAAATATGAACAGGTTCAAAAAGGCAAGTGTCCTGATCATAGATGTCTTGGTTGGACCTCTGCAGTTTCAAACTGAGTACTTTTAAGTTTTCAAGTCTTTGAATTTTCTTTCTGTTCTAAAAGTCATTTCATTCTGTGGTATTTTCTTCATCCCAGTCTACTGTCTCCTAATTTCCTGTCTCTATCATTTTCTCTTGAAAACAAATTCTGGAGCCTGACTCCCTGAGCTGATTCTACCTCCACTCCCCACCAGCTGAAGATCTAACAAGTTATTTCCAATGTGTATCATTTTTCTTTACATGCAAAACTGAGATAATAATGCTTGCCTCTTAGGACTATGGTAAGGATAATAAATATCCCCCATTTAGCAAAAAGTCTGGCACATAGTAGACACTCAATAAACATTAGCTATCACTTGTATCATTTGCTCTTATCTTGACTACTTTAGGAGACTGAGATCCACTGAGT